GGTGTGTAACCTTAGTTTTTCCCCTGATTAATTTATAAACACCTAGACTTCGTCTCTTATTAGAGAACACGATAACCTTCACGTTTGTTTGGATTTGCTAGAAGAACTAGATTCAGTGTCAACTATTGGGATTCTAAATTTTATTAATGAAGACACGTATACAATTATACGTATGTATGTATTTCTAAAAGTGCCGCTTCAATAGATGGAATAACTTGCCAGGCATTATGCGAACTCTATTTAGTAATCTAAGCTAATGACAGACTGCTTTATCACTAGATGGTAACTACGTCCTGATGTGTTGGAGAACATAACCTCATATCCATTTACACTTTAATTACAGTATTGCAGTACAAAACTTGATAAGTAAATAACTTACACTGTTTTTGTTGAATTCTTATCAAGTTATTTATAAATACCTTAAATCGACAATACCGATACTTAAAAGCTGTTTCATAAACTAACTTTTATTACGCTATTATGTTTGTCTCAGTTTTTGGATTACATTGTTACAATGTTAATATTATTAAAAAATCGGACTGAGACGCGTACCATCACGATCTATTACGACACGAAATTTGTGTTACCGTAAATTAATGAAGAAATTGAAAATTAATGATGTAGTTTTACATACATTATTTCAGTTAACTTTAAAAACAAGTTCGTTGGCCGATGCAGTAGCAACAACTGTTTATAAAAGAACACAAAAAGAAGACCAAGTTCGCTAGTTTTGCAAATTTCGGACGTAAAGTTAGTAAACTAAAATATTCACTTTTACCGAAAAAATAATCACGATAAATGTATGAGACTGTACTCAATTACTACTATAAAGAATGACGCATTACGAAAGATTTTACCAACGAGAAAGTTTTGATGGCATATTTTCAAAAGGTACATAAATCGGAAAGTCTTCTCTGTAATAATCGTATTGTGCCATGTAACGAAGCGTTTGGTAAGGTAAAGTTCATGAAGAAACCAGATATTACAAAATTCTTATTAGAAAACGGTTGTTAATAACAAGGGTACGAAAAATCAATGTAAATTCTCGTATTAATTAATTCAATAACAACATTTCAATAATATGCAGGAATTAGACATGATAAACTTTCTCGAAAACTTGCTGAGATGCGTCCAAAGTGCATCTATCATTCGTGTTTTTTGCGTCATATCGAAATAACTGATGGACGAAACAACCAGCTGGAAGAAATACTTTTGGAAAAAGTCCAAAATTGTTGCTACATCTTTGAAACTTGTTCATCTGGAGAAATATACTGTGCGATGTTTCAGGTCTTTTGGCTCATTTTGTTGTAGAGGAATGCGTGTAGAATTCTACTTACAATCAGAAATGGGCAATTCTTGGAAAAAAAGTACATATATAGGTAATTACAAGTTTTTTTAAAGAAAGTGATGCTCTTTTATAAATTCATAATACTGTTTATGGACCAAGCACCAAGCGACATTCGCTAAAAAAGCCTGGACGCGGAAGTCGCGATGAATATTCCAGAAAGACCTCGATCGCGGAACACAAATAAACCAAGGGACTAATGAATTTCGTGTACAGTGGAGAATATCTCTTGATTAAACAAAACATAGTTTTATTTGGTTTTCATACGATTAATGTTACACAAAAGGCAATCAGATGAAAGCTTATCAGAAACAAACATTAAAAAATCACAACAATATTTTTCACAAGGCACTGGATTTTGACCTCTTAAATACTTATAATAACGACGTTTGCAGCTATAATAATTCTAATTAATAATTATGATCTTTAGTACTTGCTTTTGGGGATTTATTGTCCTTAAGAATAATTCAAAATACTTAATAGTTGTCTAAATTATACGTAACATATTTTGTAGTATTGCCCATTTCATTTTCAGAACATACAAAATATTCTGAAGAGCATTTTTACATGAACATATTTTTGGCGTAACATTAATAACAAAAAAACATGAGCAGAAAAAAAGGAAAACTTATAAGAGATAACGCTTATATTTTTATTCCTACAAAAACGCTTCTTGGCTTTTTTAATAAATCATTTGATTGAGTGGTCAACGTTGCTAAAAAAGGTAATTATGTATCGGGTGCTTTAAAAGACTGGAAAATGCATTGCAGATTAAAACTTTAGATATGTGACGGAAAAGTTTTAACATTGTGTGATAAAATTTTCATAAAAAATAAAATCTTATTAGAAGATTACTACTGAAAGCCTAATTTTTTCCCGTACAGAGTAAATCATTGCGGGAGTTCTTTGAGTCCATATACCAAAATTATCTTCAGCTGTAGTCTCCTATTTTTGAGACATAAACAACCAAGTTTTTTTTAATGGACAGCCCTATATATTTTTATATATTCTGATGACCATGATTTATTTTCGAAATTCCGATGAGATGTTGCAAAGTTTTTCCAATGTTATAGAAATTTCTTTGCAGTGGACCCAAAAAAAATTGCATTAGCATTGTTTTTAAAATCTGATTTACAATATTATGTTTATAAAAAAATAAATTAGAATAATTTTCAAATACTGATATTTCAGTTTTTTTTAAATACCATTCGGTTATTTTATTACTGTACTTTATTGTGTTTTTCGTTCTCTTTCTTTTTTGTTGAGAGTTTTGTTGTTTCTACCTCCATACAATAGTGCAACACAGATTTTAAAAATACCATTTTTACGATTTTTTTCGTGAATCCTCACACTGCTATTTTTTTTTTTTTTAATTGGAAAATGCGGCAACGTTGAATCGGAATTTCAAAAATAAACTAGGGTTATAACACCTCAAAATCGACTAATAAGAATACATATGTAAAAATATGAAGGTACCCGATTTAAAAAAACTAACTTGTGTACTATGCCTCAAAAATAAAACATCTGTATAGTCAAAAATAATTTCAATGTAAGCTACTCAAAAAAACATACCATTTTAGTCTTTCCATCTCTAATACTGATGAGATATCGAGGACCATGCATTTAGTAACTCACCCTGTATAGTCCACATTTCCTACATTTGGAAAAACTCAAAATCTATAAATTCATTTTCGAAATTCATATTCACAATCCATCAAGATTAAATCAAACAAAATACAAGAAAATGCGAATTTCAAAATTTCAAGAATTCAACCATCTAAAAAACATGAAACAAATTAGTAATCCAGTTTTTACAGTAAAATTTGAAATTTGGAGAAAGTAAATACCTCAAAGCAAAAAACTAAATACCGTCGTTGTAAAATATACAAACTACCATTGAAAATCCAAAAAATCAGCATCGTTTGAAACACTTAAAATATATTAAAAAATGTAAACTTTTGAATCCTATATAGATTGCGTATGGTTAAATTAAAAAAAAAAATTGACTCCAAACAAATTACATAAATAAGTCCACATTTATTTTCAAAAATGAAATTTTACATATTCTTAAAATTAGTTGGATTTCTCGGAATTAAAAAACGTCAAATCCATCAAAAGTAGTTCGATGGAAAAAAATTTATTAGTTCTTACGCAATTGACCACAAACCTTCGATTAACCAGACGTCTGGCTACGTCTTGTACCATTTCCACTTCCCATAATAAATCTTCCGTATTTCCCCTATTCAGTTCAACTTTAATTACTACATTGTTGAATTTTTTTCTTAATTATTGTTCCGCCTTCCTAAATCGATTTCCGACAACTATACAACCCAATAATAAACCAACCCTTTTTTGTAAAACTGACAATACAAAAGTTATTTTAATTCAAAATTTTTATCATGCTCACAATTACGGAAATAAATTAAAAACAAACTAAATGACAACACCCCCGCTACAGAAAAGCCTCTAAGAAGCCCAAAAGTAGTAGAAGCATCATTGTGCTATTTAAAAAAATTTCAATCTGTACAAAAAATTGAATTACAGAAGAGAGGAAAATTGGTTTTTATAATTAAGTGAGCGTGGGTTACTCTAAAATGAAAATTGTTTCAAGTTAAAAAAAACTACAACTCCATTTTAACGAAAAACGACGGCAAATAAAACACTAGTTTAGGTTTTTAACCTCATAATTTGTCCATGTCACACAGCTTACATCATACTAATTTTTTTTGCGTTTTGAACTACCACCAAAAATCGGGGAAAAAATACAGCTGCGTTAATTTAATTTTATGGCCACGACCCGCCACTGTCTCCTGTGTACAAAAATAAGGTAGACACCTCCCGGCATTTATATTGTTATCAGCACGTTTCGGTCTCGAACGATCCAACTTCCAATACTTTACACGGGGGACATGGGGATTTAAATTTAAAAGTAAATCCGGCCTATCTCGAGCTAGGGTACCACTCGTATCAAGTTGCTTACACAAAGAATAAAATACCTTGTCGTATAAGGACACATTATAATAACAATCCAGGCATATACATATTTTAAAGGCACAACCACTTCGACAAAGGTTTCAATTTTTATTGGTGACAGAAGTAACAACTCAATCCCTTGTGGGAGACCAAAACGACAAAATTATTTATGAGAACTGACAATCAAGTTATAACATCCGTTAAAAGTATTGCTATAAATAAATAATAAATAGCATCGATCAAAAATATAATATGCACCTAGAAAATCGGCTATTTAATCTATCTATAATTACTTTAAAAAAACGTTTAGAAACGAAAACATAGATATACATATATCACAATCTCTAATTTGATAGTTGTTAATGACATTTGCCCCGTCCAAAACCATGTGCGTGCGGAAATACCGACAACACATCCTGGAATGTCTTTTGTTTTGACTATACAACCTCTTCAAACAACTTAATTAAATTGCAGGGAGGGCACACGGCCTATTCTCCCCGTTTACAACAACTGCACAATTTCAACAAGACATGATTAGTTTAATTAAATTAGCACAATAATAGAAAATCAAAGGCATTAACCTTAGCGAATAGGCGGCTGAGTTTAACCCGCCAGTTTTGAGTCAGTACGCTCCGCCCTCTGCCGACTTTGATTCAATAGGGATGATTTCTGCGCGACTTACCGGCAATTTTATCCAACAACGTCCAACAAAGCACACCACAAACACGCCTGAAGACGACGGCAACACTAACCTCCAGCAACGCCGCGTCGCAACTGACTTCGGCGTGTTGACAACCGGCTGATAATTCCATGAATGCACTCACGCCCCTCCACATGGCCGTGGAGCATGCGTGAACTTACCCCAAATATGGATTTTTCTTATTTATAAAGGTAATTTATTCAGGTGAGATGTCCATTATGCTTTGTTTGCACGGTTTGGGTCTGTTTTAATAGAACTGATTGCCGCTGGACGGATTTACGGCTGGCGGGGAATTATTCAGCAATGTTGACTAATGGGTAATTCTTCGTGTTGATGTTTTGGAATGTCAATGCTCGCGGAGCCAAGGTGTCGAACGCACCTTATTCGCAGGGTCGGACGGGCCCCCCGGTCAGGTGTAGTCGTTTTTACCGTTGCGGTGTTGCGCTTATGGTAAACGGTGGTAACGGCCGCAACAAGCAAAAACAATGCCGATTTTACGCCGCAATTGCGGCTTCGCGCGAACGGAAAAGTGCTGGAAGATGGTGATTTCGAAGAAAAAAGTGAACAGGTGGAAATGTGTGAAATGTTTTGTAGAAAACAGGAATATGTTTTGTAATCGGTTCGTTTCCAAATAAAATTTAAAATGTCTTCGGGCTAAAGATGTATTTTTTAAGAAATGTGAAAATAGTATCATCTTGAAAAACACAAGGGATGCTGGAGAAACTTTCAAATGATAATATTATTATTATTGAAAAACCGGACACAAGGTGTCCCCGAGATTCTTTCAAACTACTTCAAGAAACAAAACACAAGAGGTCCTGGAGATGCTTTCAAACTACTTCAAAACCAAAACACTGGAAAAGCCGGACAGAAAGTGTCCCTGAGAGTCCTTTAAATTACTTCAAAACATGATAAGGAATCTCCAAGATTCTCCAAACAAAAGATGTCCCCGATATTCTTTCATACTGCTTCAAAAAAAAAAACAAAACATAAGAGGTCCTGAGGTGCTTTCAAACTACTTCAAAAAAAAAACAAAACAGGTTCCCAAAATTCCTTGAAACTACTTCAAAAACAACACACAAGGAGTTCCCGGATTGTTTCAAACTACTTACTTCAAAAACAAAATACACGGGGTTTTCGAGATTCTTTTAAACAATTTCAGAAACAAAAAACATGGAGTCATGGAGATATGTTCGATCTACTTCAAAAAGCAGGCATAATGGGACCCCGAGGTTTTTCAAATTACTTCAAGTGGTCCTCGAGATGGTTTCAAACTATTTCAAACAACCAGATAGAAGGGATATCCAAGATTCTTTCAAATTCTTTCAAAGACAAGACAAGGATCCCAAGATTTTTTCAAACTACTGAGATTCCTTAAAATTACTTCAAAAACAAAACACAAGTGGTTCTCTAGTTAGTTTGAAACTACTTCCAAAACAAGATACAAGGGATTCCTGAGACACTCTCAAATTACTTACTTCAAAAACAACACGAGGAATTCCCAAGATACTTTCAAACTGCTTCAAAAACAAAACAAAAGAGGTCCCCGAAATTTGTTTAAACTACTTCATAAACAATACACAAGGGGTTCCCGAATTCTTTCATATTTCTTACTTAAGAAACACAATCCAAGGAGTCCTCGAGATTCTTTTATACAAATTGAAAAATAAAAACCACAGTGTCCTGGAGATGGTTTCAAACTAGTTCAAAAACCAGATATAACACAACCCCGAATTCTTTCAAATTACTTCAAAAACAAAACCCACAGGGGACCCCGAGATTCTTTAAAATTACTTCAAAAACAAAACACACGTGGTCCTCGAGGTTCTTTCAAATTAATTAAATATCATATGCAAGGGGCCCCGAGATTCTTTCAAGTTATGTACTTCAAAAACAAGACAAGACAAATAAAATCCCCGAAATTCTTTAAAACTACCTACTTCAAAAACGAAACCCAAGGGGTCCCCGAGATTCTTTCAAACCACTTCAAAAACAAAACACAGGAGGTTCTCAAGATGCTTTAGAACTACTCCAAATCCAGAAACAAGGGGTCTCCGAGATTCTTTCAAACTACTTCAAAAACAAAACATAAGAGATCTTGGAGATCCGTTCTAATTACTTCAAGAACAAAAGAGCTCCCCGAGATTTCTTCAAACTACTTCATAAACAATACACAAGGGATTTCCGAATTTTTTCAAACTATTTACTTCAAAAACAAAACCCAAGGAGACAAAGGATACCAAGATTCTTTCAAACTACGTCATAAAGAAACACAAGGGGTTCCCGAGATGCCTTGAAACTATGTACTTCAAAAACCAGATAGACTTTTTCAAATTACTTCAAAAATAAGAAAAGGGATCCCCAAGATTACATCAAACCATTTCAAAAACAAAATACAAGGACTCCCCTCGACCTTTTCAAATTATTTCAAAAACAAGGCACACGAGAGATAACGAGATTCTCTTTAAAATTACTTCAAAACCAAAACTCGAATGGTCCTGGGGATGCTTTCAAACTATGTACTTGAAAAACCAATTACAAAGGTTGCATGAGATTTTTTCAAATCACTTCAAAAACAAGACAAAGGATTTCAAAACACTTTCAAATTACTTCAAAAATAAAATAAAAGGGGCCGCCGAAATTCGTTTAAACTACTTCAGATACAATACACAAGAGGTTTCCGAGATTCTTTCAATCAAGTTCAAAAACAAAACCGAAGGCGTCCCTGAGATTCTTTCAAACTATTTCAAGAACAGAACACAAGGGGTCCCCGCGATGCTTTCAAACTACTTCAAAAAGAAAACGCAAGAGGTCTCCGACATTCTTTCAAATTACTTTCAAAACAAAACCCAAAAGGTCCCCGAGATTCTTTCAAACTACTTCAAAAACAAAACAGAAAGCGTTCTTGAGATCCTGTGAAACTACTTCAAAAACCAGATACAAGGAGTCCCTCAGACTTTTTGAGATTTATTATTAACGTACCGAGATTTCAACATATTTCACCATATATAAAAGTTTTAAAAGAACTTAAGCTAAATGAACAGCGTTTCTTACATTACGTAAATTTCATTAAAAAGATTCTAGAAACTCATGTTCCTGAATATCTTTTTGCTAAAATGATTAAAAGAAATGAAATAAATATAAGAGACTTAAGACATGTTGATCAACGACTCGAGATTCCTGTTCACAGAACTGCAAAGTTTCAGTCGTCTTTTTCCTACTTAGCATCACATATTAACAATAATTTTTTGATATATTTAAATGCATCCAGTTCTTGTATCAAAAAGAGAATTAAGTCTGATATTTTAAATGGTCACTACATAAATGTTAATGTTCGTCGATTTTAAGTTTGACTATGTTTGTTAGGTTGTTTTATTTATTTTACTTATTTACGTATTCTAATTGTATATTGTATGTTTAATGTGTGTAGGTATGAGTTAGAATCGTTTTAGTATCAGGGTTAGCCTCTATTCTAACTTTTTGTACGCTGCTCTAGTTGTGCAATAAACTTATTCTTATTCTTATTCTTATTCTTACTTTGTCAAATTACTTCAAAATTAAAACAAGGGATCCCCGAGATTCGTTCAAATTACTTCAAAAATAAAGCACATAGGATCCCCAAGATTCTTTCAAACTACTTCAAAAATAAAACACAATGGTCCCCAAGATTCTTTTAAACAACTTCAAAATCAGGACCCACAGGGCACTGAGAGACACAACAGGTCTACGAGATGCGTTCGAACTACTTCAAAAACCAGAAATGAGGAGACCCCTACATCCTTTCAAATTACTTCAAAAACAAGATCAACTCAAACTACATACTTCAAAAACAAAATACAAGGAGTTCCGTCGCCTTTTTCAAATTTCTTCAAAAATAGGACACACGAGGGACATCGAAATTCTTTAAAATTACTTTAAAAACAAAAGTCGAATGATCCTTGAGATGATTTCAAACTATGTACTTGAAAAACCAATTATAAAGGTTCCATAAGATTTTTTAAAATTAGTTCAAAAATAAAATAAAAGAGGCCTCCCAAAATTCGTTCAAACTACTTCAAAAACAATACACAAGGAACCTCTTCAAGAGACAGATTCTTTCAATTTAAAAAACAGAACACAAGGGGTCCCCGCGATGCTTTCAAACTACTTCAAAAACTAGACCCAAAAGGGACCCCGATATTAAAATTACTTCAAAAACAAAATACAAATACATATGTAGTTTTCGAAATGGTTGCAAACTACTTCAAAAATCACATACGAGGGGTCCCCCGGATTCTTTCAAACTACTTCAAAAACAAGACAAGGAAGGGGTTCCGAGATTATTTATTCTCTAAGCTGTCTAAAAGAAGTACTTCCAATAGTAGAAAGCTTAAATATGTTGATAAACAATCGTCCATACGAATTCATAAAACACGATGGTCCTAGAGATGCTTTCAAACTACTTCAAAAAGCAGGTAGAAGAGGTTATCGAGATTCTTTCAAATGACTTAAAAAACCAGAAACGGATCCCTGAAATTCTTTCATACTATTTCAAAGACAAAAGGCTTGGAGTTCCCGAGATTCTAACTGTAAATAATTTTACATTAAACTGGTTGAGTAATTACACTAGTTTACAACGTTTTATATCCAAAGACAAAAATAGTTGAATCTAAAGGATTTGGGTCCGGGAAATTCAAATCTGAAACCAGAAAAAATCCATCACGTCAGGTTTTTGAGATATTTATATAAACATACCCCGTATTTCTTTTCTTTTATACAACTCTTGTAACTTTTTTATTTTAAAATATATATGAACCTATAGTTCTTTGAGCAAATTTGTATCATTTTAAGAGATCATTTACGTAAATAAATAACATGAGTGTCAATTTTTCAAGCTACTACATTGTCATCAATGTTTTATTTAAAATTGTTCAAGTATTGATTTTAGAATAATTGCTTGCTTTTGATTTTTCTACGGGAAGTGATAATAAAAATATGAGGTTGGCCTCACAAACATCTTTTAAAATGATACAAATTTGCTCAAAGAAATACAGGTTTATCTTTAAGAATAAAGAAGTTACAGGGGTTGCATCAAATAAAAGCAA